CCACATTGAGGCCTAGAGGCAGTGCCCCTTATTGTCATACCTGTGCTATTGTTTTTCCCATGTAGAGTTAAAAGGAAATTAATATATTTCTTGTCTTTATGAAACGTGGAATAATGAAAATGTGTGGAGGGAAATTACCTAGTATCTGAAAATACGATGTGGTGATTAAGTGACTTGTTAGTATGCTGGAGAATTTCTTTTTTTAAAAAAGTTTGAGAATTTTTAAAAAAAACATATTGATTTTTTTTACAGAGAGAAAGGGAGAGGGATAGAGAGTTAGAAACATCTATGAGAGAGAAACATCAATCAGCTGCCTCCTGCACATCTCCTACTGGGGATGTGCCCGCAACCAAGGTACATGCCCTTGACTGGAACCGAACCTGGGACCCTTCAGTCCGCAGGCCAGTGCTCTATCCACTGATCCAAACCGGCTAGGGCGAATTTCTTTTTTTAAAATGTATTATTTATTTCAGAGAGGAAGGGAGAGAGATAGAAACATCGATGAGAAACATCAATTGGCTGTCTCCTGCACACTCCCTACTGAGGATCAAGTTCGCAATCCGGGCATGTGCCCTGATGGGAATCAAACCAGCGACTTCCTGGTTTATGGGTCAATGCTTAACCACTGGGGCACACCAGCTGGGCGAGGCTGATGATTTTTGACAAATGTATACCTTCATGTAACAACCACCCCAATCAAGAACATGACAATATTTTTAACAATTTGAGAACTGTGATTTTAGGCTACAGAGGGGCCTGAGTTTTCAGAAAAGTGATTGAATATTTATTTATGGGCAAGAACAATATTCTTCCACGTCAATGGTGAAAGAAGGGACACAACCTCCCTGGCCAGGTTACTCGGTTGGTTGGAGTGTTGTCTTGTGCACCGTAAGGTTGAGGGTTCGATTCCCAGTCGGGAGCACGTTTCTCTCCTGCCCCCTTCCTTTCTCTCTCAAATCAGTAAGCATATCCTTGGGTGAGGATCAAAAAAAGAAAAGAAATAAGGGATACAACTAACATGGTCAGGAAAAAGCTTGCTACTTCACTGTTTTTCTCCTATCTAATGGACTCCTATACCAGATCCTTAAGGATGCTTCTAGTTCTGATCTATAAAGACTGAGCTACTGCTCTCCCAGGGCCCACACATTATTGCAGTAAAGGAAGGTAGAGAGGGGCTTGTGAGATAGATCATGCTCAGGAGAGTGAAACAAATAGGACAGTAAGTGAACTACAAACACAAGGTTCTTGGGAAGTGAAGCTTGAAATGAACCCAGCTGAAGAGCCCAGGCCGACTGTAAAATATAACTAATGGCTTCTCTGAGTCAGAGAAGTTCCTGCCTCAAATCCCAGGCAAGAGATGAAGAGAATCAGGGCAGTTTTTCAGCTGCTAAGTTCTCTCAACAATTCCCCCAGGTAAAATTCCAAGGGCTTTGGTCTGTCTGTTGGAAGTTTCTTTCCCTTTGAAGTACCGTGTTTCCATTAGCAAGGGAGCCTTGCAAAATCGCCCTGTTTTCAGAAACGTCATAGTCTGTAATGGAGTTCCAGCTGTTTTCAGATCAAAGTTGCATTTCTAAGCAGACTCCATGTGCTGCCAAGCAATGGCCTGTTTCAACTCAAAGCAATTCTGCAAATATAGATTGAAAATTGGAAGCAGGAGAGTGAGGTAGCTATTACAATACAAGTGACATGATGGAGGCTGGGACAAGAATGATAGTGACACGGTGGTGAGAATTGAGCCTGGGAAGATTTTGAAGATAGAGCCGACAAAATGCAGATGTGTGGTGTAGAGAGTCAAGTCAAGGGTGGTTCTGCAGGCTTTGCCTGAGCAACTAAAAGAATGAAGTTGCCCTTAACTAAGATGGAAGAAACTGTGGGAGGGGAGGAATAAGGTTGGGGCAGAAAATCAGAAGCTCAGTTTGGACATGTTAAGTTTGAGGTGCCAATACTTGCAGATACTCACTTGGGCCATGAGCCCACTGCAGGGGTAGGTCCAGGATGGAAATATGTGGAAAGTCAACAGCACATGGATGATATTTAAACCTAGTGGATTGGATAAGCCACCCTAGGAGTGAAGTAGGTCAGTTAAGAAGAGACCAACCCCAGAATGAAGGGGCAGTCTACTATTTAGTGATTAGTGGGGGGCATGCAGGGGGCAGCTGATTGATGTTTCTCTTTCACCATTGATGTTTCTATCTCTCTCTCCCTCTCCTTTCCTCTCTGAAACACACACACACACACACACACACACACACTAGAGGCCCGGTGCACGAAATTCATGCACGGGTAGGGTCCCGAGGCCTGGCCGGTGATCAGGGCTGATTGGGGCCTTCTGGCTGCTGGCCAGGGCCTCCCTTCGTTCTGTGTTGTCCCCTGGTGGTCAGTGCACTTCATAGCGAGTGAGTGAACTTCTGGTCTCCTAGTTGAATTCCTGAGGGAACAATTTGCATATTAGGCTTTTATATATAGATATATAAAACATGCAATAGCTGACTATTTAATCAGTGGCTAGTCACTGACCTTTTTTCTTAGATTATCAAATAAAAAAAATGACAACAGCTAACAACAATAGTGTGAATGAATAAAAATTATACCTGTTTTTTGTCAGATCAGCAAAAAATATATTTTTTGGTGTGCTACAGAATTTTAATAATTAGTTTGTGTGCCATGAGATGAAAAAGGTTGAAAATTGCTGCTCTAGTATGTTAGGCCTATTTTTTAATTGATAATTTAGAAAAACTCTGACTTCACAATTCCTTTTTAGTAATGTCGGGAACATTTTGAGAATCGTCAGAGTTGGGGCAACCTTATCAAATTTTTGTCTTACATGAAATGCAAGTTTCTAGGTAATCTCAAGCTTTCCAGTGCCCTTAAGCATTCCTTTCATTGAGGACCCTCAGTGATCACAGTGGATGGTAGGTATATCTTACACATGAAGACCAGCAATAACTTAACTGTACACATAAATGTATTCTACTAAGCTGAAATGTTTCCAATTGGATATCCTCTAGCTGGATCTCAAATGCCACTAAGCACAAAGGAAAGTGTTACAGGGAGGAATCCAGTAGAGAGAGCAGTTTTAAGTGATTGTAGTAAAAATATCACTTTTGCAAATTTTACAAAAACATTGGATAATGAGAGCAAATTGCCGGGAACCCTCCTTGAGCCATGGCAGAGTCCTGGGGAACTGAGGGAACCCTAAAGCTTGAGCTTTAGTTCCATAATGGTACCATCTTTTGGTGATAGTGCAAAGAGGCAACGCAAAACAAAACCCTGGCGCAGGGAGTTGGGACATGGTGCTACAATCCTATATAATAAAAGGCTAATACAGTAGGTCCTCGGGTTATGTTGGAGATCCTTTCCTACGATGTAATGCGATTTTCGCTGTAAATCAGAACCCACCTACATAAGCACCTATGTCACTCACATGGAGCACATACACAGCAGTAATGAAGTGAAACAGTAAAAAATATTTAAAAGAAAGACAATTCCTGACCTTTACTTGTGGTAAATAAATAATAAAAAACATAAAGCACATATGTACATACGTCAAAATGACGGAACTTTTTTTTAAAACTAAATACTGTAAATGGGAGATGGCGACATAACCACGAAATGACCTACATCATAACCGGAGGACTGCCTGTATGCATATCGACTGAACGGCAGACCAATCAGTCGCTATGATGCTCACTGACCACCAGGGGTCAGATGCTCAATGCAGGAGCTGCCCCCTGGTGGTCAGTGCGCTCCCACAGGGGGAGCACTGCTCAGCCAGAAGCCAGGCTCATGGCTGGCAAGCACAGTGGTGGTGCTGGTGGGAGCCTCTCCGCCTCCATGGCAGCACTAAGGATCTGACATCAGAGCAAACAATTGAAGGGGATGGAGCCAGCCTTGTGGATATCTGGGTGGACCTCACTCTAGAATCTAGACCAGGTAACTGAATACAAAAGCCCCAAGGTTGAGCGTGGACCTATGAACCAGGAGGTCATGGTTCGATTCCAAGTCAGGGCACATGCCAGGGTTGTGGGCTCCATCCCCAGTCTGAAGTGCGCAAGTAGGCAGCCGACAATGATTCTCTCTCATCACTGATCTATTTCTCTCCCTTCCTCTCTGAAATCAATAAAAATGTATATGTGTGTGTATATATATATGAAACAAAAGCCCTGCGGCGGAGTTTGACACGCTGGGAAGAGCTAGGGGGCCTAGCTTTGTGCCAAGAGGATGCGGAGGCTGGGGCCCCGGGAAGGTGAGCCACGCTCCTGTCACACAGCAAAGCAGCGGGAGTGCAGGACTGGAGTCCAGATTCCCACTAGTGCTGTGGATGGGCAGGCGGCTGAGCGAAGCCCCTGACCCACATGCCGGCTTCTGTTGCTTTATAACCCCGTCCCCACTCGCGGGCTTACCCGGGACCCAAACCCACAGTCCGCGGGACTCCGACTCCACCGCAGCCTGAGCACGTGCGTGGGACCAGGACTCGCTCCAGGACCTCACACCAGAGCTGGCCTCGTCTCTGCCTGCTCCAACCTTAACGTGCAAAACCGGGAGGCGCCTTTTCTCAACGCCCGCTCACTATGTGGGACCAACTCTCCACTTTTACACTCAGGAAGTGTAGTCTTTTGAGGCCGGAACGTTGGAAGACATTTTCGCCGCAGGCAAACCGTTTACACCTAAATCCAACATCAAGCCCTCTGGTAGCCCAATTTCCCTTCAGGCGAAAAATCGGCCGACTAAAGCTTCCAGCCATCTTTTGTGTGGCAAAACTTTGGGTTTCTTTGCCCATAGTATATTATGCCGAACTATTTTATGTCTTTATTTCCAAATTCACGCAAGGACTTCAGGGTCACTTTCCTCGTAAGGCCTCCATTTGGAGAAGAAAGGAAACTTAAGGCGTTTGTCGTCTTCGCCCTTCCTAACATGGCAGCCTGAGAGTGCCTGCGGTCCCGGCAAGACTTCCGGTTTCCGGGCGGGCCCGGGCGGGGCTGGACTTCCGGTCTCGCGACGCAGGCGCAGGACACTCCTTCCGCTCTCTCCGGCCGTGTTCACGAGTCTCGCAGTCATGTCTTACCCCGCCGATGATTACGAGTCTGAGGTAACCTGGCCCTAAGCGCGTGCTGAGCTCCGCGACGAGGGCCGAGCTCCCTGGGAGCGGAGCCCCGCGATGAGACGGGGCCCGGCGGCCTCTGGGAAGCCCCCGCGGGCCGTGGCCAGCTCCTGCCTGCCGCCTGGCCTGCGCGCCCATTGCCGCGGCCCCCCTCCCGGCTCCTCATCGGCCCTGTCTGCCCGCCCATTTCCCGTGTCCGGTCCCCCCGTCCTCTTCTTTTCCAAGACCCGGGACGGAAGCTGGCTACGGGGGCTGTGTCTCTGTAATCGAGCACTTCTTATATCGGGGGCTCGGTCTTGTCAAATCCTGCTGATTCCTAGCTTTGCTCCAGCTTACTACACCGCAACGTTGTGTTGTCACTGTGTGTTGAGTCTCCCTTTGCGGGCATGCGGGTTTCTGAAAGGCAGGGGCTGTTTCAGCCAACTCTGCACCCTTAGTACCTGACAGGCCCTGGGACGAGCGTTTTGGGTTCACGGCGTGGTGACTGCTCCTGCCTTTCTCGTTCACAGGCCGCCTATGATCCCTATACTTACCCCGGCGACTATGATATGCACACAGGTGAGACTCGTCTGGTTAGCTGGGTGCCTGCAGGGACAGGCCCCTTTATTAACGCCTGGGAACCGCGCTGACGGGCACCTGTATAAAACCGCTTCTTGATGTCTGGGCTGGAGTCAGTCATTAGCGCCAGCAGGAGGGCGGTGTCCAGCCTGTAAACCACGCCTTCCTCCTGGTCCACCTGGAAACCCGAGAAGGGGAGGACGACTGTCCTGGCTGTGATTCTGTTGTTGTTCAAACTGTTAGCCGAAGAAGGAAATCTTGTAAAAAAATTAGTGATTCAAACCAAGCCCAAATGAAATCTTTTGTGAGGGTTTCTTGAAATGTCATAGTGACTTGGTTTGACTTAGTGCCGTGCATTGTTCTGAGTACTTTGTCCTTACAACCGTTCTGTAAAGCATGTATATTAATGTTGTCTCCATTTGACAGAGGAGAAAACCGAGCACAGAGAAGTTTAGTTCCTCCTACCAAATCATATAGGTAGAAAATGGCAGTAATTTATCCATTCAAATAATATTAAATACCTACTGCTTACTCTCCCTTTCCACAGTCTTCCCCCCTCCTGCAACACACACACCTCTTCTAGGTCCCCAGGGTACATCTGCGCACAAGACAGACAAGGTTCTTTCCCATGCAGACTTTAGCTTTTAGGGGGAGAAACAGGTAATAAGTAACTTTGGTGGCAAATGTTGTGAAGAAATAGGACAGTGATGGCGAACCTTTTGAGCTCGGCGTGTCAGCCTTTTGAAAAACCCTAACTTAACTCTGGTGCCGTGTCACATACAGAAATTTTTTGATATTTGCAACCATAGTAAAACAAAGACTTATATTTTTGACATTTACTTTATATATTTAAATGCCATTTAACAGAAAAGTCAACCAAAAAAATGAGGTGACATGCGTGTCATAGGTTCGCCATCACTGAAATAGGGTGATGGGATTGGGAGTGCTTTGGGAGGATTATATCTGAGTATTTAAAGGGGGAATTATATCCTATTTGATAAGTTTGAGCTTAGTTTGGGTGATGGATCTGGCCCTTTTGTTATATATGTGGGTTGGAAAGCACTTTGTAAAATATTTATTTATTATATCCAACCTCTAGGAGATCCAAAGCAGGATCTGGCTTATGAACGTCAGTATGAACAGCAGACCTATCAGGTGATCCCCGAAGTGATCAAAAACTTCATCCAATATTTCCACAAAACCGTGTCAGATTTGATCGACCAGAAGGTGTATGAGCTACAGGCAAGTCGTGTCTCCAGTGATGTCATTGACCAGAAAGTGTATGAGATCCAGGACATCTATGAGAACAGGTATGGGCTGCTGGGTGACGGCACTGTACTGGACAGTGCAGGCAGAGAGAGAGAGTGGTTTAGCCAAGCATGTGGTCGGTATTACTCCCCTAGGAGAACGTGTAGTGAGGAAAATGGTTGGCACCCTGGGAAAGATGTTTTGAGGGGAGAGCAAAGAAAGGAAATAGCAGAGGGGACAGTAAGTGAGAAAAGTAGGTAGTAAATCAGAAAGAAGTGTCATAGGAACTAAAGAGAGAGGAGACTTTGAAGCAGGAAATGGTAAACAGATGTTAAGTGCTCTACAGATTGAGATGAGAAAG